ACTCACACACACACACTCACACACACACACACACACACACTCACGCACACACTCACGCACGCACGCACACACTCACTCACGCACGCACGCACGCACACTCACACACACACACACTCACACATACACACACTCTCATACACACACACACTCACACACACATCTTATTATTTATTAAAAAGGGAATTTTGCAGGCGTTTGTATGAATGAATATTTAATATCCCACACTGGTGAACTCCTCTGCACTGTGTGTTTGTGTTGCAGCGCTCAGTGACTGCAGTGGATTGTGGGTCAGGCCTGCGTTCTCAGAGAATGAAACGATGAAAGAGAGGAACGAGGAGACGAGAGAAGTTCAAATGAAGCAGATTCTCAATCTGAATCACAGTCAGTGTGAATCCAATCAGATCAGAGTGATGCAGAAGCAGAACCACGCCCCCACAGACACACGGACCAATCACAGCTCCAGTGCAGACAGTGGGCGGGGCAGGGTCGGGGCTTCTGGAGTGTGGTATAGTAGTGATTCAGAGAAAGTCCCGCCCATCAGAGATGAAGCTCCGCCCAACAGAATGAGAGTTTCCTCTCTAAATGAAGACAACAGACAGAATGAGCTGCAGTATTACGTGTCAAAGGTACAACACACACACACTCTCTCTCTCTCACACACACACACACACACACACACTCTCTCTCTCACACACTCACGCTCCTTCCTGTGTGTCGCATCAGCTGCTGGAACGCTCCCCCGGTGACCCTGTGGACGAGGCAATCAAAGAGCTTAAACATGAGCCTGAGCGTCACATGAGCGAGCCGAGATCAACCCTGGAGCAGAAACCAGATCAGCGTGACAAACCAGAGGTGATCCGCTTCGCTAGTGTTTGCATGGAGTCATGTGACCGCCACAGCTAGATGTCCACCGATGTATCGCTTTTGCTGCAGTCTTAATTTGGACCGATGATTTTGATTTAGTTTTAGTCTTATTTTTTGGACTAAAATGCCATTAGTCATCTGAATTTGTTTTAGTCGACTAAATCTTATGATTTGGAAGCTGTCCTCAGTAAAATGCGCAGCACACAATAGCAAATTGGGGTTATAATGCTCAGGGACAGAGTTAAAAAATAAATTGCGACCACTGTTTCCTGACATCATCTGCTTTCGGAAGCGCAAACAAAGACGTTTCAGGCGGTCGCGCACCGGACAGCATAATAGGACCCCTTTAAGGTTTGAACATGCAATATAAACACAGATTTAACTCCTGTGACACATGACATGCCTTTATATTAAAATTAAATTGATCCACGAGATGCGATTACGATGTAGGTGTCGCTGTATTTTAATGCTTTTGTTAGTCTATCCAGCTGAAGCCACTAGATGCAGCGCTGCTACGCTATTCATTCAAAATACTGCGGAAAAAGAGAACATCAATGTGGAGAAGACGTTACGTCAAAACTGAAACCAAGCCGTTCACACAGAACACATATTTATCACATTTTCTAGAGGGACGTCTATCAGCGTGACACTCAAGAGCGGCATGTTTAGAAAGCCATGGAAAATTAATGCAAGTTCGACTTTTAAAAAACATGTCTGGAGACTTTTTGGCGGTTTTTCTGCATCTCATGTTTTTAAATGAAGAAAGCACTCTTTGTGATTGGTTTTCGGTTCTTTGTATTAAACTATACGTACATACATGATGCTGTTTTGTTTCTAATTGTTAAGCAACTTAATTAATTATATATGGTTTATAAACATTATTTTAAACATTATGCGCCCTCTTGTGGCCTCAGGAGAGAAGCCAAAAGCTTTTTTCCACCCTAACTGAAAATATTCCTTTTAAATTCGATTATAATTCAAATATTGATAATATTTTAGTGCGAAATTCGAATTTAGTTTTTCAGCCATTTTGACAGCCCTAGTTCATTCAGACTGGATCTCTGTGCAATCGTCCCTTCGTAACATTTTCGTCTCGTTTTTATTCGTTGACGAAAATGTCAATATGAACAATTTTCGTCATTGTTTTCGTCATTCAAAAAGAGTTTTTATTTCATCATCGTCTCGTTTTTGTCTGTGAAAAAATGTCATTGACAAAAATTACGAATAACGAAATGAACACTGTTTTGCTAGAACTATTGGCTATCCGCAAAAATCCATAGTTAAATCCATAAATTCATAAAAAGCTGATAGTTTTCCGGGTTGCATCTATTGCTGGAGCGGCTGAGAAGATCCGCTGTTATTATACAGAGCGAGAGCGGCCTCTAGAGGAGAATCACTGACACCTCTGCTGTTTGTTTTGACACATGCTTCTGTGCACTTCAAATGCGGATTTAAAACATGGACTATGAAACGGTCATATTGTAACACATTGTAACACACTGTAACATTCAAATCTGCGTTCACGCTGCGGCTGAGCCCAAGAGAGCTGTTAATGTAGGCCTAAAGGGATGAAACAGCTTCACAAGCAGTCGTATCGTTATCCGTCACAAACATTCAGATAATCACAGAAGCACTGGGTTAAAAGTTTACATGTCGTTCAGATATAAACTCTTGTCTACTGCAGCTATCATAATAGATGAAATCACTTTTTTGCAAGTGACTTGAAGCTTCAAATAAAGACGGCATCAATTACAACGTAACGCCAGCAGGTGGTGACAAGTGACTCAAGAAAGAGATTAGTTTAGTTTAGTTAGTGTGTGCTAATTTCAACTTCTGCTAATATATTAATGTTAACATTAATGAACTATGAACTAAATGTAATGATCACTATAGAATTAATATTCAATGTTAATATTTGTTATTCATTTATAGTGTGGTACGGTTTTGTTTTAATAATAAAGCACTCTTTGTGTGTGTGTGTGTGTGTGTGTTTCAGGCGTGCGTGTCGTCTCGAAGCGTCCCGAGCAGAAGATCAGCGAGCCGCAGAGGAGGACCTCAGAGAGTCTGGAGATGACCTCATTTTACTCACTTATTCATGTGCTTTATTATATTTGAAATAAACTCTCAGATGTCTTTAAGGAGCGTCTTAAGTGTTTTTCTTTGACGTTTGAGTGTGTGTTTTACACAGCACATGCACTGCTGGAACACACACTGCGGAGTGTGAGTCTGTGGGTTTCTCCTCAGTGAGCGACTGATCTAGACGAGCGTGTCTGATGCTCCTGAGGACCTGAACCGATGTCAGTCGCTGGATCTGATCAGGTGACACTCATGCATTCATACTGAACGATTGATTGAATCATCAAACACAGATGCTGCATAAAGAAAGGCCATTATGTCTTTTTTTTTGCATGGTGCAATTATTTTATCCTGATTATTCATGAGATTCAGCCTGGTATGATGATATTCTTCATAATGAAAGGCGTGATTCTCCAGATGGACGGTTATATCAGTAAAGCATTCATCTGGAACTCGTATTACTTTCTAGTCAAGTCACATTTATTAAAATACAGCTTTTATTCCATACATATTATTTCAAAGCAGCTTCACAGAGATAGACAGGGAAATAACAGTGTGAATGTCCTCGTTTGGAACGAAGTCGCTTTGGATAAAAGCATCTGCTAAACGACTAAATGTAAATGTTGCAAAAAGATATATTTTATATATTAAAATATACATTATATTGGAGGCAAAATAATATAAAACAAATGTATTCAATTCTTAAGACAAAATTACTTTTTAAGTTTTTGAAGATTTGTTTAACAATGGAAATATGAAATAAAAAACTGGACTTCCTCAGTTATAAATGTATGCATATATATATATATATTAACATAATGTTCACTTTATATATCTCTCTATGTACATATGACCACAAAACCAGTCATGAGGGTAAATTTTTTTTAAAATTGAGATTTATAGATCATCTGAAAGCTGAATAAATAAGGTATCTATAATTTTGACCCATACAATGTATTGTTGGCTATTGCTACAAATATACCCCAGCGACTTAACACTGCTTTTGTGCTGCAGGGACACAAATGTATACATACAGGAAAAGAAAAACGACAAAAGGAAAGGGAGTTGCAGAATATACCATCATTAGACAATTCTTCTCTGACTTAAGAAGATTTAGTCTTGCAGTTTGATTCTGATTGACAATCTGAACACATCTGCAATTTTTAACATAAATTAGAAAAACACCCAAATGAAAAAAAAGCTTTAAGTAAAGCTGTGTTGTGATGTGCAGTGTCACTGCTCTTCCTCTGCAGTGTTTGTGCTGTGTGAGTCCAGCAGGAGGCGCTGTAGAGCAGACGGGAAGGACAGCGTCCGGCTCCGGGGCCCGGCCCCTCCGAGGGCCCTCCGCGCAGATAACCGGCTCAGAGCCTCCAGAGCAGGTGGGTCTCCTGAGAAACACGGTCAGTGATGATCAGAACACGCCAGCGCTGATGACGCTAGCCCAGAATGCACTGTGCATCAGATATTTATTACGGCTATCCATTAGTTTGAATATATTTAGTTTCTGTTCTGTTAGTGTCTCTTTAAGGAAAGTTTGTGTTGGATTTGATATTTATATATAAATATACAGTATGCTCAAAAATCACACAGAATGTCAAACGATTGTGTTAATGCATTAATGTTAACAGCACTTACTGTATATTTAATTTAATGCTGAAAAATGCGTGGATAAAAATATCTTGTTGTTTGTGTGTGCTGTGTATTTTTGTCCTCCATCGAGCTCTAATTATAAAACATCACTGTAAAAACTCAGAAGCTGAGAAACTCAAAAACTTAATGACGGATTATTCGAAACGTACGGAAAAATGGTATCATCTTTAAAGTTGGTCTGTGCTTCCAGCACACATGATATAAAACACTATAAAAACTTAAGCATGATAATGACTTTTACTTGTGGATTTAAGTTCAGTAAGCTTGATGTTAAACTGAGTATTAACCTCACACACTAGTGTTACTTTACTGTTTTTAATGATTTTTAATAATTTTTCAAATATGATAAAAAAAAAAAAATTTTTATATCACTTTGTGATGTGACATCATTGGTGTCGGACATGTGATGATGTCACACTCACGTGTCATGCCACACAGGTAGCGTATGCAGATTTGAGCTCCTCCCCAAACGCAGCTCACAGCAGGGAAAAGCTCCGCCCCTTTGGGGAGGTCCTGGAAGGCGACGCCCAGATAGCAGTGGTCCACCACGTATCCCAGCGTCCCTGCGTCTGCGTCCACCACCACTAACACACGATCTGGAACACTTAAGACGCCCTTGGCTCCGCCCCCAGGGTACCGCCTCCCCGCCCTCCCATCATGCCAAAGCTGATTGGTCGAGAGATCCCAGCCCCAGGAACACGAGTCTCCACCTATTAACGCCATGTAGCCCGAGGCCTGAAGGGTGCATTTGTGTGTGGACACACCCAGTAGGGCGTGGCTTCCTCTCTGTTGCTCCTCCCACAGCACCTCCCATATATGGAGCCCCGTCGCCGTGCCGACCGCGCCACGGACCGCATCACTGCTCTGCTCCACACGGGCGCGAGAGACACGCCCACCCGACGGACACACCTTCAGATTGGGCGACAGGTAGGTGGGGCTCCACTGCGACCGCGGGTTTCCAGGGGCGACGGGGGGCGTGTCTAAAAGCACTGCCAGGCGGATGGGCGGGGCTACAGAAAACGGACAGAATGCTGATCGGGATTTATGGTGTTGTTTAGGACCGCCGTCCTTCAGCAAGCAGCACAGTGTGAGACCCATCCAATCAGATCGCAGAATAACATCAACTTCCTGTTCAAAGACACAAAACCACCCTCGGGTCACCGTACTATGACATTAGTCAAACTACAGCGATTTAGATCATCATTCAATAGTGTTTAAATCATTATTACAAAGTCGATTATTTTAATATCCTACTATAGTATTAACTGAACTTAAAGGAATAGTTCACCCAAAAATTCAGACAATCCTATGGAAGGAAGAAAGTCAGGTTTCGAACGACGTGAAGGTTATAAATGTGACCCTGCAGCACAAAAGCAGTGTTAAGTCGCTGGGGTATATTTGTAGCAATAGCCAACAATACATTGTATGGGTCAAAATTATACATTTTTCTTTTATGCCAAAAATCATTAGGATATTAAGTAAAGATCATGTTCCATGAAGATATTTTGTAAATGTCCTACCGTAAATATATCAAAACTTAATTTTTGATTAGTAATATGCATTGCTAAGAACTTAATTTGAACAACTTTAAAGATGATTTTCTCAATATTTAGATTTTTTTGCACCCTCAGATTCCAGATTTTCAAATAGTTGTATCTCAGCCAAATATTGTCCTATCCTAACAAACCATACATTAATGGAAAGATTATTTATTCAGCTTTCAGATGCATAAATCATAAATACCCTTATGACTGGTTTTGCCACTCATTTAAAACTATAACAAATTCTTATAAAATCTATAATGTTATTAATATTCGTATAGTGTACTTTACCTGCTCTTGAAACTTACATTAAAGCATAAAAAGCCGAATCGACGCGTTTCCTCGTGAGATGCTGTTACCGTGAGTGCGCGCGCTGACTCCCGTCCTCTCGCGTGCATCCCGCATTTAAACGTCACTTATCTCCCGTGCGCGCTCCCGCGACGTCAGCGCCGGCCGTCGTGTCAAGGCCAGCGCCGAGAGTGACGTCTGTGCGTCCCCGATGACGTATTTCACGCAGGAGAAACTGTTTCTAAACATGTACCATGGCGATATTATATATGATATGATATAACAGACATCATATTGGGGGTGGTTATTTACATTTACCATGTAACCATCATTTCGTTGAATTTATTCACCCTGGGTTTCACAGACAAGGCTTAAGCTTAGTTCCCGACTAAAATAATTCTTAGCTGTTTCAACTGAAAGAAACTCGCACTGATTGATCTTAAAATATATCGGTGCCTTTGTTGTGTCTCGAGATGCACACCAGTAATGTGTTTTTTTTTCTAAGGCACGTTAATAAAAATTACTTCAATGTCCTAATTGAGCTATGGCCTAATCCTGGTTTAGTCTAAGCCCTGTCTGTGAAACCAGGCCATACTGTTTTAAAATACATTTTTAATTTAAAATGAAATAAAATGAATAAATATACAAATGTATATAAGAATTCTTGTTTTCTGCTAATGTGTTGCACATGAACGAAGCTTCCTGAACTCATGATGATATTTCTCAGTTTATTGGGCTTCTGACAGAGAACGCGACACTCTGAGTTACTGTAAATACTGTATGCAGATCAGTGAAATGTAGTTTGTACAGAAACATAATTCAGCATGAAGCGCATGTCATATGACAGTGAGAGAAAGAGACGGTGTGTTTGAGGGGTTTGTGTGTTTTGTATGTGTCTCTCTCTGTGTGTGTGTGTGAGAGAGTGTGTGTGTGTGTGTGAGAGATAGTGTGTGTGTGTGTGTGTGTGTGAGAGTGTGTGTGTTGTGTGTGAGAGAGAGTGTGTGTGTGTGTGTGTGTGTGTGTGTGAGAGTGTGTGTGTGTGTGTGTGTGCTTAGGGGCATTTTCTCTCCACGCTCTGTTTTCCTCCCTCATCATACTCCTGCTTTGAGATCCACATCTGCTGGAAGGTTCCCTGAGGACGAACACATCAGGTCAGTTATATATTTACAATAATATATAATAGAGTGTTGTGATGCAGTATGTGTTAAAACAGCTGTTGTGTTTCTCACCAGTGATGCAAGGATTGATCCTCCAATCCAGGAGCTGAATCTCCTCTCGATGGAGCTGTTGCTGGCGATCAGCTTCAGTCTCATGCTCTGAAACACAGACAGCAGGAGCTAGTGAGGAGATCAGACTGAGATCAGATGAAGATGAGACAGGGATCAGACTGAGATCAGATGAAGATGAGACGGGGATCAGACCGAGATCAGATGAAGATGAGACGGGGATCAGACCGAGATCAGATGAAGATGAGACGGGGATCAGACCGAGATCAGATGAAGATGAGACGGGGATCAGACCGAGATCAGATGAAGATGAGACGGGGATCAGACCGAGATCAGATGAAGATGAGACGGGGATCAGACCGAGATCAGATGAAGATGAGACGGGGATCAGACCGAGATCAGATGAAGATGAGACGGGGATCAGACCGAGATCAGATGAAGATGAGACGGGGATCAGACCGAGATCAGATGAAGATGAGACGGGGATCAGACCGAGATCAGATGAAGATGAGACGGGGATCAGACCGAGATCAGATGAAGATGAGACGGGGATCAGACCGAGATCAGATGAAGATGAGACGGGGATCAGACCGAGATCAGATGAAGATGAGACGGGGATCAGACCGAGATCAGATGAAGATGAGACGGGGATCAGACCGAGATCAGATGAAGATGAGACGGGGATCAGACCGAGATCAGATGAAGATGAGACGGGGATCAGACCGAGATCAGATGAAGATGAGACGGGGATCAGACCGAGATCAGATGAAGATGAGACGGGGATCAGACCGAGATCAGATGAAGATGAGACGGGGATCAGACCGAGATCAGATGAAGATGAGACGGGGATCAGACCGAGATCAGATGAAGATGAGACGGGGATCAGACCGAGATCAGATGAAGATGAGACGGGGATCAGACCGAGATCAGATGAAGATGAGACGGGGATCAGACCGAGATCAGATGAAGATGAGACGGGGATCAGACCGAGATCAGATGAAGATGAGACGGGGATCAGACCGAGATCAGATGAAGATGAGACGGGGATCAGACCGAGATCAGATGAAGATGAGACGGGGATCAGACCGAGATCAGATGAAGATGAGACGGGGATCAGACCGAGATCAGATGAAGATGAGACGGGGATCAGACCGAGATCAGATGAAGATGAGACGGGGATCAGACCGAGATCAGATGAAGATGAGACGGGGATCAGACCGAGATCAGATGAAGATGAGACGGGGATCAGACCGAGATCAGATGAAGATGAGACGGGGATCAGACCGAGATCAGATGAAGATGAGACGGGGATCAGACCGAGATCAGATGAAGATGAGACGGGGATCAGACCGAGATCAGATGAAGATGAGACGGGGATCAGACCGAGATCAGATGAAGATGAGACGGGGATCAGACCGAGATCAGATGAAGATGAGACGGGGATCAGACCGAGATCAGATGAAGATGAGACGGGGATCAGACCGAGATCAGATGAAGATGAGACGGGGATCAGACCGAGATCAGATGAAGATGAGACGGGGATCAGACCGAGATCAGATGAAGATGAGACGGGGATCAGACCGAGATCAGATGAAGATGAGACGGGGATCAGACCGAGATCAGATGAAGATGAGACGGGGATCAGACCGAGATCAGATGAAGATGAGACGGGGATCAGACCGAGATCAGATGAAGATGAGACGGGGATCAGACCGAGATCAGATGAAGATGAGACGGGGATCAGACCGAGATCAGATGAAGATGAGACGGGGATCAGACCGAGATCAGATGAAGATGAGACGGGGATCAGACCGAGATCAGATGAAGATGAGACGGGGATCAGACCGAGATCAGATGAAGATGAGACGGGGATCAGACCGAGATCAGATGAAGATGAGACGGGGATCAGACCGAGATCAGATGAAGATGAGACGGGGATCAGACCGAGATCAGATGAAGATGAGACGGGGATCAGACCGAGATCAGATGAAGATGAGACGGGGATCAGACCGAGATCAGATGAAGATGAGACGGGGATCAGACCGAGATCAGATGAAGATGAGACGGGGATCAGACCGAGATCAGATGAAGATGAGACGGGGATCAGACCGAGATCAGATGAAGATGAGACGGGGATCAGACCGAGATCAGATGAAGATGAGACGGGGATCAGACCGAGATCAGATGAAGATGAGACGGGGATCAGACCGAGATCAGATGAAGATGAGACGGGGATCAGACCGAGATCAGATGAAGATGAGACGGGGATCAGACCGAGATCAGATGAAGATGAGACGGGGATCAGACCGAGATCAGATGAAGATGAGACGGGGATCAGACCGAGATCAGATGAAGATGAGACGGGGATCAGACCGAGATCAGATGAAGATGAGACGGGGATCAGACCGAGATCAGATGAAGATGAGACGGGGATCAGACCGAGATCAGATGAAGATGAGACGGGGATCAGACCGAGATCAGATGAAGATGAGACGGGGATCAGACCGAGATCAGATGAAGATGAGACGGGGATCAGACCGAGATCAGATGAAGATGAGACGGGGATCAGACCGAGATCAGATGAAGATGAGACGGGGATCAGACCGAGATCAGATGAAGATGAGACGGGGATCAGACCGAGATCAGATGAAGATGAGACGGGGATCAGACCGAGATCAGATGAAGATGAGACGGGGATCAGACCGAGATCAGATGAAGATGAGACGGGGATCAGACCGAGATCAGATGAAGATGAGACGGGGATCAGACCGAGATCAGATGAAGATGAGACGGGGATCAGACCGAGATCAGATGAAGATGAGACGGGGATCAGACCGAGATCAGATGAAGATGAGACGGGGATCAGACCGAGATCAGATGAAGATGAGACGGGGATCAGACCGAGATCAGATGAAGATGAGACGGGGATCAGACCGAGATCAGATGAAGATGAGACGGGGATCAGACCGAGATCAGATGAAGATGAGACGGGGATCAGACCGAGATCAGATGAAGATGAGACGGGGATCAGACCGAGATCAGATGAAGATGAGACGGGGATCAGACCGAGATCAGATGAAGATGAGACGGGGATCAGACCGAGATCAGATGAAGATGAGACGGGGATCAGACCGAGATCAGATGAAGATGAGACGGGGATCAGACCGAGATCAGATGAAGATGAGACGGGGATCAGACCGAGATCAGATGAAGATGAGACGGGGATCAGACCGAGATCAGATGAAGATGAGACGGGGATCAGACCGAGATCAGATGAAGATGAGACGGGGATCAGACCGAGATCAGATGAAGATGAGACGGGGATCAGACCGAGATCAGATGAAGATGAGACGGGGATCAGACCGAGATCAGATGAAGATGAGACGGGGATCAGACCGAGATCAGATGAAGATGAGACGGGGATCAGACCGAGATCAGATGAAGATGAGACGGGGATCAGACCGAGATCAGATGAAGATGAGACGGGGATCAGACCGAGATCAGATGAAGATGAGACGGGGATCAGACCGAGATCAGATGAAGATGAGACGGGGATCAGACCGAGATCAGATGAAGATGAGACGGGGATCAGACCGAGATCAGATGAAGATGAGACGGGGATCAGACCGAGATCAGATGAAGATGAGACGGGGATCAGACCGAGATCAGATGAAGATGAGACGGGGATCAGACCGAGATCAGATGAAGATGAGACGGGGATCAGACCGAGATCAGATGAAGATGAGACGGGGATCAGACCGAGATCAGATGAAGATGAGACGGGGATCAGACCGAGATCAGATGAAGATGAGACGGGGATCAGACCGAGATCAGATGAAGATGAGACGGGGATCAGACCGAGATCAGATGAAGATGAGACGGGGATCAGACCGAGATCAGATGAAGATGAGACGGGGATCAGACCGAGATCAGATGAAGATGAGACGGGGATCAGACCGAGATCAGATGAAGATGAGACGGGGATCAGACCGAGATCAGATGAAGATGAGACGGGGATCAGACCGAGATCAGATGAAGATGAGACGGGGATCAGACCGAGATCAGATGAAGATGAGACGGGGATCAGACCGAGATCAGATGAAGATGAGACGGGGATCAGACCGAGATCAGATGAAGATGAGACGGGGATCAGACCGAGATCAGATGAAGATGAGACGGGGATCAGACCGAGATCAGATGAAGATGAGACGGGGATCAGACCGAGATCAGATGAAGATGAGACGGGGATCAGACCGAGATCAGATGAAGATGAGACGGGGATCAGACCGAGATCAGATGAAGATAAGACGGAGATCAAACTGAGATCAGATTAGACTGAGATCAGATGAAGATGAGACAGGGATCAGACTGAGATAAGATGAAGATGAGACGGGGATCATACTGAGATAAGATCAGACTGAGATCAGATGAAGATGAGACGGGGATCAGACTGAGATCAGATGAAGATGAGACAGGAATCAGACTGAGATC